ACGTGTGTATTGGGCGCAGCTTCTATGTTTAGCTTGACTTGAAAGCAATCGTGTCCAACCAATAGACCTCTAGATACTGGGCTTATAACCATCTCTTACTATGCTGCAGACTGGTACAAGATGAATTAATTGAAGCTGTTAGCCGCAACAAGGAGCATATATTGTGTTATCGATTCTTATTTGATAAGAGCAGCGTCATTAGAACCTCACCTAACTGCAGTTTTCAACATTTAATTCGAGAATAGGTAAGAAATTTAGGTTTATAGACATGTTATATGTGCACCGATTCAAATAAACTCAGAACCTCAAATTCGTGAACGGATAGCCTTTAAAAAGAAACCATTCGAGCTCATGAGGCCCCTTCATCGATCCGTAAATCGTACCTGTGAAACAATGCAAACGTTTAGTTACGGACTGATAATCAGTAACATTTCGCTAAAGCGTCATTTAAAAAAACTGTAGCATACTTAACTTGTTGCTATATGATTTTTTCGGCACATTGATTATCAACGGGGCCAACAAGAATGTATATACTTCGTATCAGTCATGGTAGGTTACTGTGTCCGACCTCATTGATTTCACAGAACGTACATAAAAATATTGTTTATTAGGCAAATATGCAGGAATGTTATTGTTCAGCACAAGGACTCACGTGTTCGTTATGGAATAGCCATGTTAGCTCGACCCCAACACATCAAACGAGAGATCTCGGTCCGACGTACATTATGATGCAGTATCTCAACCTACCGGGATAGGAGGCGCCTCAGCTGCTTTTGATTCCAAAGTGCCGTCCCTCAGGTTCAGTATTAGCTACTCAAACTAGATTATGGAGGCAGGGAGCCTATGATAAACCTGCCGAACTCATCCTTCAGGCTAAAATCCAAAAAAGTTACTATAGTGATAATTATTGCACACCTATGTCCAGTAATTCGTACCATGCAAACTAGAAACAATAGCGAAGGCAACGACGGAAAGGACTATCGATATCGCTGCTATCAGTAAGTCCCTCAGTAAATTTTATTTGGATAGGTTTGATTTATAATTCATTAAATATTTTATTAGATAAAACGGATTTTAATGCTTGCTGCTAATTATAACATTTGACCCTAACGGACTGTTTTATGATTATACAGGCTCAAACGTTACATGAGTTGCGACAAGCGTATATCACAGACCGACAGTTCGGATCTTTCTTCACGTCAGGTACGCGGCAAAAAACTTAGTTCAAGAAATAATTAATAATAGACAGATATAATTAGAATGGATTAAAAAACAAAATAGGTATACCGATTTTTACCAATCTATTGAGCAAATTTCCCACTTATACGAATATAAACTAATCGCCATACAAACGTAATTAGCGCTATTTGTACACATATAGCAGCCACAAGGTCGCATCCATCACATTCGACGTTTTCTGCTATAATCTTTTCTGTACCAGCTACCGTGGTCGACTAATATGCGTTTTCTCTTAGCGATTTCAAACATATCTGCATACTACTAGTACGGCCCTAGCCGTCGCAATACGCATACATATTTATCGTTATCATAAGCTTAAATGAACCCATTGAGTCCAAATCAACTGTAGTAGGTTCCGCATCTTCCCTCGTAAAACCGACAGCTAACAGCCGCATTTGTTGTTCGCACACCCGTTTCACTTATCTAATATATACATACGAGAGTATATATGCATCTTCGTTCTTGCATACATTCTAACCCCGGCTCCAGGTTTGTCTTTGAGGCACGATTTGCTTCCGTTTGCTGGCATATCCTTTTTGTTCTAAATGACAAGACGGTCGTCAGCTGTGCTGCTCTCTATGCTCCAGTCTGTGCCTGCCAGCTCTCCCTCGCTTCCTCTCCATTATCTCGCGTTTGCTCCTTTCCGATTTGAAGGACCGACTGGGAAGAGCCTTAGACTTTTCACTCCGACACAAAGAGAAAGGGAGAGGCAGACAACAGCGAGCTCAGCGCGGCGTAGCTCGCTACCTTCCCCCCTAGTTTCGACTACGTGCCTGTGCCTCTCTGTGCCTGCATGCATATCCCCCGCCTTCCCCCTGCCCACCCGGAACAGAAGAGCATCGACCACTAATACTCTGCTGGCGCTCTTCTATTGCTTCTACTAGCACTACTACGATTAGTGGTCCTGCCAAAAAGATCTCTGACAGCAGTTAGTATCGGCGGCGGTCGAAACGCCTCAGCTGACACGGGTCCCCCCGGCCGTTCGTAGTTTACTCCCAGCAGGCCAACCAGACGTCCTCCGCTGTCTCGCCAAGCTCTTCGCTCTGGCAGCGACAGCAGCACTGTTAGTTACTCGTCTGCTACTACCACTCAGTTGCTTAGCCGTTCTAGTCGGTTTGCCTGCGAGTCTTGTGGCCACCCAAAGAATCAAACTTGAGCGCCGCACCGCTCCGACTCCGCTTTCGTCCAGAACAAAAGCGAAACAAGGATAGCTAGAGAAGAGAGAGAACAGCGAACCATCCGTTTGCTACTGCGCCGTCCGCTCCCTCGAGCTGCTGTAGCTGTTTCTGCCTGGTTTAGGCCGCAGCGAACGATGGCCATCTGTTGTCCTTTTCTCGCGCCCGCCGCGACCGCGCAGAGGCAGCAGCATCATGGTGCTGCCGCTATTGCTGAAGCAACGGCGCCGGTGGGTGACAACAGCAGCCGCAGCGATTTCGTTGTGCTACGAACGATGCTGTTTCGTTATCGTTGTTTCGATGCTCTTGGTGAGCTCAGTAACGGCGGCCCCAAGCAACATCCGTTCACCTGAGAGCGCAGGCATGCAGCTCAACTCCCCTCTCACTGGTAACAGCAGCGGCGGCCGACGAAAAGATATGTACCACTAGTCAGCAGAGTAAACGAAGCAACGAACTAGCGAGTGGCCAGATTAAGGCAACAACCGATTTTTCTACCTTCGCCTCTATGATACGATATGTGTGTCCTTCTGCTGCTGCTGTGGCCGTATTGGCGCCGTCAGCTGTTGTTGTTGTTACAAAGGTTCAGGCGAGAGGAGGAGAAGGCCAGAAGAGCCCTCTGCGAGGAGCAGAGCTGTTGCGCCGGCGGCCACAGACCCCACCGCCACCGCTGCAACGGTGAGTAAGGGTGATGCTGTTGTTGCTGGTAGTATAGCACGCAGCAGTTGTAGTGGCGATGTCGCTGAGAGTCAGTGTTTCTCTAGTCGCCATCGCTGCCAGCAGCGGTTGTTCGGTAAAGTGACGACAACGACCACAGTTACTGGTGGCTGCTGCTGGATAAAAGAGAGCGCTACTCACTGAGAGGGGTAATGTTCGGCTCAAACGAACGGATGAGCTACGACATCAACCAGCCGAGCCCTCTCCCCGCAGCGTTTGCTGCTGGTGCTGTTAAGAGCCGTTTTGGCGGCGCTGTCGATGGGCGCGCTGTCGGCAGGGATCACTTGAAGGGAGCAGACGGCCACGATAGCCAATAAAGTGGGTTGGTAGCTTAATTGGCTGTTCGCGAGGTGTTGTTGGATCCCACATCGATGCATTATACTACAAACATTGTTCAATGTTGATACTGGTCACGGTGCACGACATATTCTGATTCCATGCAGCAATCGTACGACAACACCCGCGGTAAACTCTCAGCTTCGGTTCGTCATAGGTAGATATCGCAATTAATCTAACTGTGGACATAAGATCAATCGTTGAATGCCTGTGACGTTTTCGCGCGATGCGACAGCTGTGGCCGGCGGAACCGGCAACCAATCAAGCAAAGCACACATAACGTATGCGAACGGATATTGCGCACCGATAGCTGCTCGTTCTAATTCTCGAAAAGCATTCCCTTCAGCGACTTTGCTTTTCAATTAGCCGCTGAATTAGCTGGGTACATGTTGGAACCAACAACTTTTAGCCGCTTACCACCTACCCGATGACAACGCAGCAACAGGCAACTTCTGTTCGATGGTAACGACAACGATAAATGACATTGGGCACCGGTAACATTAGCCCAGTTCTAGCGCGTTCGCCGCCGCCGCCGCTCCCGTCGGCGCGCGGTGGTGTGTCGCCCGCCATCGCTGTGAGGAAAGATAGAAAAACAGCGCGAGTAACTCTTGCGAGCGAACGAGAGAGACAAAAAAGGAAAGACAGAATTGGGGAAAGGAAAGAAAACGATGGAGAGGATATTGCTAATCGTATAGGATGGCTGTTAGTGCGTGGCGCATGTGCGTCTGTGCCTTGGATAGACCGGGCTGTGTCGCTTTGTTCCAACGACGACGACAACGACGGAACAACAAACGGTGCTACTATGCCGTATCAAGCCACTGCTCTCCCCACTTTACCCCCTCCCCCAAACAACTCGACCATTACTGCTAATTCGGCATCGCCACCCGCCGCTGCGGAGGAGGACTTTATCGACGTTGCGGCGATGGGGTAACGACACGGCGCACTACTGCTACCGCGGCATCTCAGATCTGTTCAGTGCGTCTCCAGTATTGAACAGCGTCTATTCCCTAGCCTCTTTACCCGACGAACCCGATTTTGCTTAATTCGTTGATCTGTGACCCCTGATCTGTTCTCGTCATCGACGACGACGACGACGGTTCGAGACGTGTGCGCGCCACTGACGAGCGGCGGCGGCGGAAGATTGCGCCATTGATGCGCCCAACTCTCCGCGACAACCACCAACCCATACGGTTCGCGGCAGTCATCGCTGCGCGGCCAGCACGAGTGCAGTCAGTGACCAGCTACCGCGGCAGTTCTTACTTGATGTAAGAATAAATTGGACAGGGTTATTTGTCGTGCTGAGACTGTTGACAACTTGAAAGGCGTGCCCGAGCGCCGCTAGAATTTGTGACGATGTATAAGAAGAATATGTCTGTGCATGTGATCACTAGTCAGTTCATTTGGTGCGTTGCGCCCATACCAATGGAGTAACAGTTATTAATTGAGGAGTTATATATATATATATATATATATATATTTATATATATATATATATATACACACATATATATACATATATATATATATACATATATATATATCTATATATATATATATAGTATCGTTGTTACTGCTGCTAATAAACTGCACTGTTGCCGCTGGCGCTAACGATAGGATGAGCGAATCGCTGGCTGCCGACTGTTGTGGTGAAGTGTTGTTTCGCTATTGGATATCACTGTGAACTAGAGTGCTGTGTTTATTACTTTTGTGCTGGTGAGCCTGTTCGTGTTTCGTCAACGTCGATGTCGTTTGTCACTGAGTTTTCGTTGTCATTACTGCCGTTGCGCCATCGCTGCCGCCACCGGGACCGAAGCATCTGCGGCAGCTGCCGCGGTCATCATCATCTTGTTCTCTCGATGTGCGCGGGCTCTTTCCTGGCGCCCGCCAAACCGGCCGGGATTTAGCATCCGGCTGGTCTCAGCCCGCGCTCTCCGCTTAGCGGGTCAGGCGCTGCGGGAGCAGCAGCGGCCAAGAGGAGGACTTCTACCGACGACGGGACCAGCAGCAGCAAAGCAGACAGATTGTGTGTGTCGGTTGTCGTGTTGTGAAACAAAATGGCCTCTCGGGTCCACCAGCGGTTTCCGGGGGCCCGAGTGCCCCGTGGCGGGCGAAAACTCGTTAGGTGTGGGCCCGTAAAACCGCCAGAACATTCCCCCAACCCACTGGTCAGGGGCGCCGCAAGAATCGCCCGTGCCAGGGCCCGTTTCGTAAACGTCTTCGGCGACTCGGCCTCCGACACCGATGAGGTATGTGTTGTGTCTCTATACTTCATGTACTTCTACTTCATTAAGATCCTTCTTCTTCCACTCCTTCTTCTGCTACTGTGACTACTGCAGCAACACCAACAGTACAAACAACAACGACAAATGCTGCTTTACTTCACACAGATTCTATCCCACGCGACAAAGCAAGATACCGTCGAGGATTTCAGTGTTGATAGGATCCAATAATAGGATACTTCAGCGGCCGACTCTGGCGAATTAGTGGCTCTATTAATGCGACGTCACTGGTGTTTTCTCCAAACTACACTACGGATGTTAATGATAGTCAAAATAACGATAAGAATAAGAGTAGTTCTAACAGGATGGATAGATTCGTTATCGGCTACTTCAGAGACGCACTACTGGTAAATTCATCGCGTTCGCTCGCTCGCTCGCTCGCTTGCTCACGCGTACCTATTCTTTTTTTGGCTATTGATGTGTCTATGTATGTGGGTGGGTAGGTGCGTGTGTGAGCCTATGTCTGTGTATGTGTGTGTGTGTGAATGCCTGCGCGTGTGTGTGTGTGTATGTGAGCTTGTGTGTCTGTGTGTGTGTGTGTGTGTGTGTGTGTGTGTATGTACACGTTTTTGGATAAGTTGTATAGATACTGATTTGTATCTAAACAAAACATCATAAGGATTAGTAGCAGTGGTTGAAAAAGCGGCCGGAAAAATATGCGATATAGCCGCAGCAGCACCAATAACAATATCAACAATAGGTAAAACGACGGACTGGATGCAATGTGTTCGCGGATCCGTCGCAAAGATTCGCGAGCTCGTAATGCCAACTCAATCAAACCGGTGTAGTTGCCAGCGACGGTATCGAGATCAGCATGAACAAGAAACAAACATTGAATGCACCTTTTAGCGAGAGACGTCCGTCTATGTCGCTTCAATAGGAACAAAACGTTTTGGAGGCTTCAGAATTCGTTGCTTAGTGGCCATCTAGACTTGGCTATACTGGCCTAGCTTCGCCCGCCCGCCCGCCCGCCCGGATAATCTCTGCGGCTGTTTCCACTACGATCAAATAGATATGAACAGCTATAAGCGTTACTTGATTGTCTCAACACCATCTCGACAGATATAGTCCAAATAGTCAATATTACCTCTCCTAGTAGACGGTAGAGTTTTGAAGAGGCCGAAGATGATGCTTGTTGTTGTTACATCCTATTCATTTCGCCTCCTCTGTGAGCTCCTGCTTGGTAGTATAATAGTATCAGTCGTGTTCTGCCGAGTTCGCAGAGTTTGTCCATTGCCGTCTCTTGATGAGTGTGTGTGTGTGTGTTCAGCCAGAAGGAGCGAGCCGTGTTTGCCCCTGCCAGGCTGGGTGGCTGGCTGTCCGTCTGGGCAGTCCAGTACCGTAGAGTCCAGCATCGCTACTGAATGTTCTAGGTAGATAAAAAAAGAATCGAAGTGATGTTATTACTGCATGCTCTGACGACCGTTGTGATTTGTCTGGTGCTGCTGTTACCAATGACGGTCAGCAGTTAGCTGTGGTTATTGTAAGGCTAATGGTGATCAGTGAGAAGATTACACAATGACGACCCGTTCTCTCTTTGCACAGACATCACAGAGGTAGCCTGTCTGCTGCTGATGGCACTGTTATGGTTGATGATGGTGTCGTTGCCGACGGCGTTGTCATCGTGTGCTCCGGTTTTCAGAACGGATTACGAATGATAGGAAATATGGACGGAGAGAAAAAATGGATAAAGGATTGAACAAAATGGCCTCTATCTCTATGTGCCGTCTCGATAAGCCGGTCGGATTTATGCTTCGACTAGACGCTATGGTTATCATAGTGAAGCTTGAATTGACATTGCTGTTGGTCAACTTAGATGGGAGTCAGAAGTGTCCTGTTTGTCGTTAGTGTTTGTTAAGCGACTAACTCGCCATTTGCTCCATTTGCTGGCCTGATTGCGCACGCTTAATCACTTCGATGGTACTTTAATCGCCGAAATACATTGCCGTTCCTGTATAATCATCACTTGAAGTTCGCCATTGCTGCAGCCGCCATTGATAACCCGCTTTGCCAGTAGGTTCCCTCCCTGTAGTTGTGGTACGTACTCGCGAACCGTCTGCTTCGACGATAAGTACGCGTTGAATTGGGCCCGTGAAATGTCAGTACAGTTCTAATGGTATCGCTTCTGACGAGAAACCCTGTGACCGGCCATACGTATCAACGTAAAGTAATTGTTGACAATATCGAGAACAATAGCAACCACATGTCGTACAGCATAGGTCCCTCCAACAATATTCTGATTACCCATGGCGCTAATCAGAAAAGTATCGAATGCAGGCTTTTCGCTTCGGTATTTTCGATCCCGCTGAAAGAGATTGCAGTTGTTATTGGAACAGCGATCGAGTGCGGGTCCACATCTTTCTACCTATCGGCCTGCTTGTTTGGTCAAAGCGTTGCAACCTAATAATTAGTGCATTCTATGCTTGGTATTGTGGCCTCTGCAGAAGCTTCCTTATTTGACGACAAGCTGCTTGGTGCTCGTCAGTAAAAGCGATCCGTGCATGGCGCATTTGAGTAAGCGAGCAACACTCAATACTGTCGCGCGGGTCCGCGCCATTGAAATGGCGCGAGGATCCTTTTTGCTATTAGCTGTGGCAGCTTCTGCCACACAAAAAAAGGCTGTAACAGAAGGCTCACCGGTCGTCAAGTGCTATCGTAGGGAAAAGCTTGGCTGAGACGCTTCGTTGGCGGTATATTTAACCGAGTTTGTTTTTATTGTTCCGGCAAAGCCGTTTGTGCATTCGCACCTAAAATTTATTTCGATGCGAAACCCAGTGATGATTGAAGAAAAAATTTCTATATACATTTATCATATGTCTGTACATTTAGTAAAAAACGCTAGTTGATGCTTTTCCGCACATGGCATAGTCATGTTCACTGCTTGTGATAATCATTGTAGCTACGAGCATGTGAGTAAGCGAGAGACTTACGTCCAAATACGTAAATTTTCCCATGCACAGCTTTGGTATGTTTACCTGTTACGAACACAGTCGATAGGACACACTGCATCTATTGGATCTTGATGGTTTATAGGTCTATTGCCTTACAAGCTACTTTCGCCATAAACAGTACGATTACCATATACTAGGCACGTAGTTAGAACGGGGAACTTCTACCTTAAAACTATCGATGGTGTGATTGCCGAAGCGGGTTATACGATGACTATTTTCTGTACATTCTCCAATGAAAATAGAATGCTTTTTCGACAGTTGTCTTCTCCCAATGGATCAACAGTAGCTGGTTCAGTAAAAATTGGATTGCATGTTCTAGTGACTATCGATCCGTTGAAGGCGTGCCGGAAGTGTTAGTGACTTCAATCTACAGTAGATACAGGTGGCCTGTAGCGAGATCTCAATAATTTCTCGATGAATGATCGTTTCCTCGTCGTGGCCGACGAGTTGACGAACCCTCCCTGTTTGCTCGAGTGTTCGCCGCCTGGACTTCAGCCGTCTCCGCCCGCCTACGCGCGCACCTAATTTCACCCGTATCGATGGCAGGACAACGGGTTCATCTACAGCTGTTGGTCGTTTGAGCATCTATTGTTGCTACAGCAACGACAGTTGTACTAACTATTGTCTCTATCCTCGAACAATAGACATACCGAATTATAATCTTCTCTCCTGTAAAAGCTGTAACCGTTTTCTTCCGTTCAATATAAAATTACGTATGTGCACCGAGTGAAGCGTGGGCAACCGTTTTGTGCACCTGCCCAAGCGAGTATTGTTGATATTTAATTCCTATACTTAATTACTCTGATTATTGGAATTCGATAGGCAGGTGTTTTTTGCTACCCAGTTTACTTTTGTGCAAGTGGATTTTTTCGACGCTGATAATACTGCTGTAACGACGTGGATGTGTTTGGCTGGCCGGCGTATCAGGCCACCAACTAAAAGACAGACGGTGATTATAGGGCCAACGGAAGCGCATGTGATTCGAATGGCATCGCGGCCTCCACTGTCATCCTTAGCAACGCCTATTTGTATAATGCAATAGAATCGAGCAATTTTGTCCACTCGACTCGCTATTGATCAGTGACCAGTGCAGCGAAGCGACGTTTGCCGCCGCCGCTGTGGCTATTGGCACCCATTATCCAGCATGTGTTGTTTGACGGATAAGTTGTATTTGTACCGTGTCTCTGTGCATATCCATCCATCTATTTATCCCAATGGATTTAGGTTAATCGGTTACCTCTCGTTGCCTGCGCGACATCGCTGCTACTGTCTTCTACTATATATAGTTCTTTGTGGCTAGCCGAGCTGTATCTTCAATCTGCTAACTATTCTTGCCATCCCGTACATGCTGGCTGTAACAGCACGGTGCTCGTGAGCTAGATATAGACGTCTATCGAGCCATACATCGACTACTAATGTAATGAGACAACAGTGAGTGAATCGCAAAGCGTCACTGCCCTCTGCCCCACTCTACCCCCATTTCTCAAATGGTTGTCCACAAATTGATTCGACTGATGTCTACGGCTTGTTCTTGGAACCTTGTGGTCGTACAGCAGATTCCTTGTTGCCCCTGACGTTATTGTTTGGTAGTGCTGCTGCTCGCTACGAATAGCGTCACTACTGCAGCTGTTTCGTAAACGTCTGAGTTATTGGTAAAGTAGGACTTGCGGCCGCCTTAGCCGATGTACTGCTGTCGACCGCAATAATGCTGGTCCCGCCGCCGCCGCCGCTGCCGCTGGCGGTGTTGTAGCAAGCGCAGGCAGACAGGACAACAGGCAAATTGGCCGACTCGTTTGCCCGTTGGCTGGCTGCTTGAGCGACTTTGCTGTATGGTCAGGACACCCAGCTACTAGTAAGCAGTTCGTTTACTTTTGCTTTCTGCTGTTCGTGGCATTCGCCTGCTGTTGTTGCTGCCGCCGCAGCTGCTGGTGCCGTTTGCCTCGTTGGTGCGTTCGGCATTCGCAGCTTGGCGTTGTCGACAATCGACGACGATGAACCTACGATAGACTACGTCCA